TTGGGGGCACCGCTTTTTGGTGCCCCCAAATCTTGGCGCCCTAGGCAACCGCCTAGTTCGCCTTAATGGTAGCACCGGCCCTGCGCATATAACATTGGTGGACATGCAGGTGAATGAACCGGTCATGTTGTAGCTGGTCTGGTTAGGTCCTCTGATGGTGTCGCTGGTGTAGATATGTGGGCAGAGTTGGCATCAAAGTTTGTTGCATGGATTGGTTCCTGAGTTAAAGTTACTATGGAGTGGTGTGTGGTTGCTGGTGAGAATATGCTTAAGGTTGGTGGGTTGTCTGTGGGCAAGGACTGGCCTGCCTCCCAAGGTCTGTGAAAACGAGGGATCATTGTCCAGAATGGGTTGTAGATCACTGATAATGCGTTGGAGAGGTTTAAGCTGAGGACTGTAGGTGATGGCCACTGGAGTTCAAGAGATGGAAGAGGAATTTGTTTTATGAGAGAAAAGACAGGGGGTTTTTGAGGAGAGTGTGGGGTGCTGCCCTGGTGATGGAAGTGAGGGAGAACTTTCTGGAGCGGAATTTTTTATAAACTGAGGGAGAGAAGAGAACAGATAAAATACTAGAAATTTAAAGTGTTACAGTAATCAAGGCAAGAGAAGACCAAGGCATGGAGCTTTAGCAACAGGGATTGGGAGGAAAATGAATTTGAACAACACAACAGTGTTAAAAAAAATAAGTGGAATTTTAATGCTCTCTTACTTAATTATCAGTTTATTTTATGCACAAACTCATGTAAACTTCCTTTTGTTCCTTTCAAGAAAATCCAATATGATTCTCCTCTCTTTTGGCTCTTTAGAGTACCCTGTGCTTAAAGTTAATTTATTGTAATCAAACTCAATTTAATTAAGAAAGATTATATAGCCTCAGTGGTTAATCCTCTATGAACAATACTTTGCCTTTCAGCAATAATGGATTTGGGATGTACCAAGTGCTATCATCAAATTTGATTTGTTCATCCACATGGAGTTTTCACTCTAGTAGGTAAACTGTATTCTAGTGTTGAATCATCTGTTTATATTACATGTTCAGTGTGATAAGCGAACACTGGCCAAAACACAAAAGTAACTTTATCAGTGTGCTTTATTTAGGATTTTTTCACAATGCTTATACCAGTACTTCCTGCCATCTCATTATGCTTTACACTGTAATTGGCTGTGTTTTACTGCACAGTGCATCCACTTGTACCAAAGAATTTATAAAGAAAATATCTGTGCTGTTTGCATTGACAACAACTCTCCTGTTTTAATATATCCGTATAAAAATAAAGATAAACTCCCAGATAGTTTATCCAGTGGTGTCTCTTATTGGTCTCTGTTAGCTAAAACCCCTAACTAGAAAATTTAAGGGGTGAAATCCTAGCTCCACTGAAGTCAATTGACCGTTTTTCTGTTGGCTTCAATGGAGACAAGAATTCACTCAAGGCATGAATCTATTCTGAAAAGTGTTCCTGTAATAATGGCATCTGGTGTTCAACATGTGGTGTTCTTGGATGAGTTCCAGGTCAAATTTGCTTAGCTTACAGGTGTCTTTTCTAACTTCTAATTCTGCAAACTTAATCTGGGACATTTGTTATTGGTGTGCATGGAGAAAAGTACTGAGACTTAAATGAGAAAAAGAGATGAACAGCCTGGACAAGAGTTGTGAAGGGCTTTAAGGGAAAGACAAGACATTTAGCTTAAGTAAGCACTGCATCAAGTTTGAGTTCTTTACTTCTCATACATCACCACCAAAAATATAAGTTCTGCAAGCCAAATTATGGTCTACGACATCTGTCCAACCTGTTAAGAGCAGTAACCGAAGACAGAGTTGGGCCCTGCATTTGGAGTTCAAAACAATTCTGTTGATGATCCATGCGCCAGAGTAGAATCCAGCTCACCACAGATATGTGGTGATTCTGCCATGATAATAGCAGGAAAAACTTATTTCTATCTTTTAAAGTCAGCAGCTGTGACTCTGAATACACACAGTAAACAGGGCTGTTTAGTAAAAATGAGCCACTTTTACATAGTGACTTTTTTCAGACTAGAATTGCACTTTGTTAGCCAGAGTGTGCTGAGTGCCAAAAACTCTTGGTATTTCTTCCTCAGCATTTGATGAACTCTGCATACCAACATTACACTTCAGCTTTGTGCAAGAAGAATTTCACCCCACTATGTTTGTACATTCAATGTATGTTCAATGATGAAACCAAGAAAATGAAAGAACAGCATCAAAAGTGGCTACATTTAGGTAAAAGCAAATGGACACACATCTCCTTCTTTAACCACTAAAGGATTCTTTTAAGGTATTTGACCTAGAGCTCCCCAGTCAAGTGAAAGCTGAAAATAACTGTTTGTATACCTAGGATTTTGTGTGTGTGTGTGGACCCAAGAAAATAATATAAGAATATACAGTATTTTCTGACAACTGGATTAAATTAAGATGACAGTGTACAGCACTTTATCTGTCTCAGTCAGAAATCAAGAAGCCTTAATATTAAAGGCAATTTAGTTCACCAGACTTCTTTACTGCCCTGAGCTGCTCTATCAAAATGTTTCCCTTAAAGTGAAAGTGTTTGAAGGATTAGTGCTTTAGATGGATAGGTTAGATAAAACCTTTTTTTAAAATCTTAAAACATTTCACTATGAACTTTATATAAAAGATGATTCAGGAGCTGCAAGAAGATCTTAATTGGTTTGAATGACAGTGTTTTACATTACTTTTTTGATAAGCTTGATAGGTTGGTTGTGAGTCAGTGGGTGAAAATAGGACTTGGATTCAGTTTTGATTGAGTCAGATCACACCGTTGAGGAAAAAGTAGGACAGTGTCACTTGTTTTCCTTACCTCTGAATAAAAGGACCAGGCGCGGCGGGGTCGTGGGACTCAGGGCGCGGGCGGCGGGCTGGGAACCAGCTGCGCCTCTGTGCCCAGCCCGAGGCAAAGTTTGGGGGGACGTGCGGCCATGGTGCTGGGCGCCAGCGGGAGGGAGCGTGACCGCGGGCTTGGCTCCGGGCTCCCAGCCTGCCCAGTGGACGGGAGAACAGCCCCGCTCGGGGCAAGCCCCGGCATCTCTGCAAGCGAGCCCTGCTGGACCCGGCCTGCCGTGGAACCCCCTGCCACCCTGCCTAGGAGAGCCGTCCCCGGCCCCCCAAGCCGTGCTCCCTGCAGCAGTGCGGCCTGCACTGCACGGCCAGCAGCCGCGGCTGGAGGAGTGGGGTGGGGTGGGGGGCGCAGCAGGGCGGCCTGCACAGCTTGGCTGGCAGCCAATGGGGGGGGGGCGGTGCGGCCGGAGGAGGAGCCAAGGGGGGCGTGGCCAGAGGAGGAGCCAAGGTGGGGGTGCCTTTTTTATGTTTGCTCTCCCTGCTCTTAGATCCTGGCTACGCCACTGCTTTAAGGGATATTTTCTTCTAGGATCATCCTCATTAAATAAGGGGCCAGATTTGTAAAGGTATTTAGGCACCTAGTGGGATTTTCAAAATCATCTTGGTGCCGAACACCCATTGAAGGCAATAGTATTAAGTGCCTTAGTGCTTTTGAAAATCTCACTGGCTGCTTACATACCTTTTAAAAAATCTGGCCTGAGAGCCTTAAATTCTTTCAATACACTGGAAGAGGATAATCTAGAAGACGATGCCCCATTCTTTCTGGACTACACATTGGAGAAGCCTCTCGACTGGCAACAAGAAAAGGTTGCCACCGCTGCTCAGTGGTAGTGTTAGAGAAGATCAGTGACTCCTTGCCACGTTTGGCATTCAGACCAGGCATAAAGATCACAGAAATGTGGCTGCCCATTTAGTTTTGTGGGGGAAATCAGGAGGACCTCCAGTTTTGTCCTCTACCACTTGTCATTGGTAGGAAAATAGGAAGATGCAGAATTGGAAGAATGTGTGATCTTCCCCTACAGAACAGTGATCTTGAAGACAAGTTTATTCATGCCTCAGCATTGGGCTCAGTGCCATGGGGAGCATTGGTATCTGTCCCAAGACCTCTTTTCCCTATAATAGCGGCAGCATCCTTCCCAGCACGAGGGAAATTAGGGACTTAGCCAGCGGCAGGGTCAGGTGATGATGTGGTTTAATGAGGTAACTTTAATAGGATTAGGAGGAAAAATTTCCTGGAGACAGGCTATCCCATAACAACCTATTGCAGGGTTTTTTGCACCTTCCTCTGAAGCACCTACTAATAGTTGCTTTGAGTGACAAGATAGTAGATTAGATTCACTGATCAGATCCACTTGGCCAATTCCTATGTAACACTGATCTTGACTAACAAAGTGAGATGAGCAGAGAGTCAGATCTTACTCTAAGATTAAACTTGTTATATAGCTGAATGCAAAAATATGATACTATAATGGCATGTTTGAGAATTTAAACCCAGACAAGTCAGTATCACAGTATCCTTCTCTCTGCTCCCTGATATGTATACATCGCTATGGAATCTTTCATTAAATGATCTGTACAGATTCTGAGACAAATGTATATCTTGGGGGCTTTGAATTAAAACACTATTTTACACAGTGTTGGCCAAAATTCAAATACCAGAAAGTCTGGTTTGAGAGCAAGAGTTTGAATGCTTAAATGAAAAAGCCCAGCTCTGTTGTACTCTGTGACTGATCCCCATGTCCCATATTTCTGATGATCTTTGGAGGAAAGGTCAGAGTTAAGAGCTGTGAAGTTTTGGGGCAGCAAAGAGGCTTGAGTCTCTCTCTAGGCAGGCATGGGGATGTATGAGAGTAACTGATTCACAGAAATGGAGAGCTGAGGAAGTATCTGGGAGTCCAGTAGGATCCTATTGAAGGTTTGTGTAGATGTTTGGTCACAGCAGAGTTTCCTATTGCCTCTCAGAGGAGGTGCATTCTTAACTAAACAGTTTCTAACTTTGAAAGGATATTTGTTTTGGGAGTTAGGAAAAGGTGGAGGTTGATTGTTATATTTAAACTAACTCGTTTGTCCACCCCTATCCATAACCAGAAGAGTATCTATTTGATGCTGTTATATTTTGGGAAACAGTGTACTGTATCTCAGTCAGACTGAATGCAATTGATGAAGATGAAAGCCCAATGTCTAATAAATACTGGTTTCATTTAAATGGTGTTTTTAATTACATAAGGAATCTGGGATTTGGGGGAATTAATGATTAAGCTGTTGGAGGAAATGACCCCAGCTGTGTGTTCCTGTTGTGTGACATTACTCAGCAAGGTTTTATGACCGCTCTCTGTATTTAATGACTTAAATGCACACACTCTTAGATGGAAACCAGAAATGTTTGCTCCAAATGCTCCCTTCAACAGTTTTGCATTGCACTCTTTTAGACAACATTCCTTATTAATCATTACTGATTTCTGTAGCACTGTTCATTATGTATCAATGGTTTACAGCTAATAAATATATTTAAAGACAATTTAGTGTTGCTGAAAGATACTAGATTGACTCTGCTGTGTAACGGAACTGCTGCCAATTGATTACTGGGAACACATAATACATTTCTAGGAATGTTGCTTCTTTAGGATCCCAACGTTACCTGCATCTCACCCCAATTTGATGTTTGCTTACTTTGATGTTATACGTTATACACCTCAGGAATTCAGCATCATGGCAGTGGCAGACCTGGCCCTTTCATGGGTTGTGTGCACACAGATGCCCCACAACCCCAGCCCTTGTGCAGGCTGTTTCCGGAACCGGCGGGGGTCGGAGGAGACTTCCCTTTCTCGTTTCACATTGGGCTAGCAGAGGAAGCGAAGCATTTCAGATCACACACACACCTGTTCTGTTCGCATGACCCCCCCGTTTTCCATCTGTCCCTGCTATCAGTTCCGTGTGGGGCAGGGTTTATCCACAGCGCCTTGGCAAGCTGTTCCTTATCTGGAGCCAAACCCAAGATAGCAGCTGGGCCCTCTGTGTACCTGGGGAGCGGGGAGCAAGGCAGGGGCATGAGAGGCGCGGGAGGACGGTAGCAGGCTTGGCTCTGTGCGTGCGAGCTCGCCCGGGAATAAATAGCATCCACCCCGAGCAGGGCTGCTGCTCCATTGCTGGTTACCTGAGCCGGGAAACCACGTGAGTGCCACATCAGCGGCGCTTTTTAGACTGAAAGTCACAGAAAGGAAACAGGAACCGGAGAAGCGGCTGGGGCCGGCCGGCGTGTAGCTTTGGGAGGGCGGACAAGGACTGGGGCGGGCCGCGGGCAAGTCCATGTCCCCGGGGGTTCATTAATCCCCCGGGGCGAGCCTCATCCTCGCCGCTGGCCTGGAGGCTGCTGCGGAGCGAGCCCGGCAGCCCGGCCCGCAGGCGCTGGTTCAGCGAGGCGGCTCCCTCCCTGCCGCGCGTTTCCACGGGGCGCGTGGCCAGCTCTGTCTGCGGCGGCAGGAGCTGCAGGGCGGCGGCGGGGGAAGATGCTGCAGTCCCTGGCCGGCTGCTCCTGCGTGCGGCTGGTGGAGAGGCACCGCTCCGCCTGGTGCTTCGCCTTCCTGGTGCTGGGCTACCTGCTCTACCTGGTCTTCGGCGCCGTGGTCTTCTCCTCGGTGGAGCTGCCCTACGAGGACCTGCTGCGCCAGGAGCTGCGCAAGCTGAAGCGGCGCTTCCTGGAGGAGCACGAGTGCCTGTCGGAGCAGCAGCTGGAGCAGTTCCTGCGGCGGGTGCTGGAGGCCAGCAACTACGGCGTGTCCGTGCTGGGCAACGCCTCGGGCAACTGGAACTGGGACTTCACCTCCGCGCTCTTCTTCGCCAGCACCGTGCTCTCCACCACGGGTAAGGGGCCACCCTCCGCGCCCGCCGCCTCCTCGCCCCTCTGCAGCCAGGGCCTCTCCCGCCCCCAGGCCCCTCTGCACCCAGGGCTTCTCCATCCCCCTCTGCGCCATGGGCTGCGCTGTCTTCATCTCCCACCCGCTCTCTCTGCACTCAGGGACTGCCCCATCCCCCTGCACCCAAGGACTGCTCCATCTCTCCCCACCCCTTAATCTCCGTGCGTGCAGGGACCATCCACCTGCACCTGGGGCTTCCTTCTCTATCCCCTTCCTGCACCCACAGACTCCTCCCTTCCTCTCCAGGACCGTGTATCTCCAGGGCCCAGTATCCCTGCACTAGCACCTCTTCATTCCCATGCTATCTGTCCCCCATGGCCTTCTCCATCCTCCTGTCCTCCTTTGCACTCAGGAGCTCTCCACTCTTGTGGAAGGTGCACAGACTCCCAGGGAGAAGAACCCCTTAGGGCCCTCTCTTCCCTTCTTTCTCTTGGGAGCTAAGGGCAAGAGAACCAAGGAAACTCCTTTTCATCCCGAGGTCCAGTCTGCTCATCAAGAAAACTTAAGTAGCAGCCAAGGGGATAGTATTTGCTTTGATGATTTTTTTTTTAGTGTTGCATAATCCAGAAGAGTTTTATTCAAACTGCTGCTTTTTGTCAAGGGTGAACAGAGAGAGTTTCCCTGCATTGCAAAAAGAGTTACTGGGTTTGTTTGTGGGGAGGAGAATAAATGGCAACATTTACTAAAGTACCTGTTCATACCGCTTTGCATTCTTGGTTTATATCTGACAGTAGTTGGGGAGGGGGCCGGGGGGGGCAACTCCTTTGGGGGTCTCAAATCAGTGGTGGGGATTGCAGCCATCCTGGCCTTTTCTACAGTGTTCAGTGGGAAGGTTAGATGGATGGGGGTGGGAGTGGGGATGCTGATATGGAAAAGATAGTGCTTCTCAATCTTACATGACTCAAGGTAGCTAAATTCTCGTCTCATTTGTGAGGGCGTAATACCATTGGCCATTATTCTGTTCCCAGTTACACAAGTATAAAACCATAGTCTCTCCATTGGTGTATGATTTTGGTAATTGGAAAAAAACTGAAAACTTCAGGGGCTTGATTTCACCGTATTTTTATGCTGGTGTAACTCCACTGAACTTAAGGAGCTTATGCTGGTGTAATATTAGAGTAATGCCATGGTGAATCAGGACCCAGGTTCTGTCATCTTGATCTCTCCTTATTTAAAAAGTCACCTAGTGAGGCCAAGTGGGTATTAGGTTTCTTTTCACAGTGGAAAAAACAATTGCTCATCCTGTGTAGCTGGAAAAAGAGCACACAGATAACTAATTCAGCATATGCTTTCACTTTGGGTACTCTTGATATTCATATTTAGCGAGTGCCTGCCAACACTGTGTTGTCTACTTATTTGTTTGAACTATGCCATGGTATCTGCCCCAAGATGTTTACTATGTAGTTAATTTTTGAACCATCTGCCTACTTGTGGGCTAATAGCTCAAACACACTAACATTTTTTTTCTTAAAGAGATCCCATCAGCTTAAAATTCATGGCCCAAGGTTCTGAGCTATGTCTGGTGCTTGGTGCAGTTCATGGTGGAGGAATTGAGTGTGGCTTTACTCAGCTTCACAGCCTCTGGAATCTGGGACTGGCCATGGGTCTTTTCCACAAATCTTTAATTTATGCCCACCTGCCCATGGCTCCAAGGGTCTATTCTGGCAGATGGGGGTAGTCAGAGTGAAGAGGCGCCCTGGAAATGTCCCCTTTGTGGGGATACTACAGGGGGCCTCTACAGGGGGATACTATAGCTGCTGTGTGACTCTACGCCACCCACAGAATTCCCCTTTTTAAGAGGAATTGAAGGTACATTTACAAAGGGATAAGACAGCCATGACTGACCTGGGTCAGCTGACAGACTTTGGCTTACAGGGTCCCAGAACTCCGCAAGCCCAAACATCTACACAGCAATTTTTAGCCCCACAGTCTGAATCCCATGAGCCTGAGTCAGCTGACCCATGCCTGCTGTGGGTTTTTTATCCCTGTGTAGACAGACCCTTGTGACTGAGAGAACTTGTGCTGCCAACACAAATTTCTTTACCCATGTTACTGTAACACTTTACATTCTTAAAAGTGAAACATCTTTAAAAATCCAACCTGTCACTATGGGCCTGATTTTTAAAGGTATTTAGGCCCCTAAAAGTGCAGATGGGTGCCTACAGCCCTGACTCCTACTGAAATCAAAGGGAGTTAGACACCTAGGTGCTTTTGAAAATCCCAATAGGTGCCTAGCCACATCTTTAGGCATCTAAATACCTTTTAAAATCTGGCTCAGTGCCCTTAATTTGTTTTTTTGCATTTCTTTCCATTTGAAAAATGAAAATCAATGAAGTAATTTTCATATTTGTTTATGTAGTCCCTTTCAACTTAAAATTCCTTGTGTATTATGTTGAGTCTAGAACACTACAGGAGAACGTGTATTTGCTTAAAAACAGCTATTTTCATTGGTATTTTTAAAAAGTTGTGGAAATAGTTTTTAATTTTAGGTTTTATAAAATCTTGCTTTTACAAAATTTAAATTTTGCATCAAATTTAAGTTGATGGTGTCCTTTAAGGGACAGTATAGGTATATGTGCCAGGAATATTAGACTGTGATAATTTGAATGGCTGAATTTTAAGTGATCATTGAAACAAATAAGTGTCCTCTTTAATAAGTGTGAGATGCTTTTGAAAACGCCCTTAAAATTGAAAACTTTTCCATTAAATGAGTGTCTTGGTAGTATTTTGGTACTGCTAGAAAAGATGCAAGTTTAGTAGTAAGCAATTCCCTTTTCTATTAAATATATCTTCTGATAACAACAGTGTATTTACCTGGTCTGACTCTGATACTTACTGTCAGATTAGAACAAATAGTGGCTGTTTTAAATAAAAAGTTTTTGATGTTAAAACTATGGACTAAGTTATGTGTTTTTTTAATTAATATGAATGTTTTTATAGTAAAATGTTAAGTAAGTTTTACATTAGGGATGAGGAAACGTAGAAAAAGTTCAGCACCACTCATATAAACAAAGCAGTGGGATTTGGTTTTGGACTCAGCAGTATCATTTACAGTTCATTATCCTCCCCTCCCAACTGCACATCTGCATAAGGCCTCAAGTGTTTAGCTGATTAGATCACAGAGGCCCTCAAAGGTGAATACTTGAACATACGTGCAGTCATCCCATATATTAATAAACTTTTTGAAAACCCTCTTTTTAATGACCTTTCAAAACTTAGTCAACTGCAGTCTATTAGTAGGTAGGTCCAAAACAAGCAGAAGGAATATTTTCTCTATACGTTTGGAATTAAAATGAATCCATCACTGTAAGAACGGGAGAGAATTGTACTTCTTTCAGTGGGCCGAATCCAATCCACAGGGCTTTGGATGGAATCTTGAAGTGAGGAAAATAAAAACGTTGTTCCATTTATGTTTAAAAAACAATCTGTTTTATTATTTTAGTTTGCAGTATATGTACAGGGCCTCGCACAATGGGGCTCCATTTTTCATAGGTCTGTAGGCACTACAATAACAAACATTAATAATATTGTATGTGTGCAGTAGTTCACAAGTTGATGTGTTCTGTTTCTTTGGGAATAGCAGGCCTGGTAATTCTGTGAGTGTTCAACAGATTAGGGGCTGGACTCTGCAGGAAACTCCGAGGACTCAGGTTGGTGTGCGCCTGTTGGTACCTGTACAGAGAGAGAGTGAGGCCTGGAAGGTAATGCTTGTGCTGCCAGAGGCTGATTGTTTCAGGGAGCTGATCCACACAGGCACAGACTAGACTTCCTTAGGCTAAGGGACGGTAGTGGTGAGGTATCTCGCAACCCTGGGTACCACTGGGAAGTGTCACAGTTGTCCTCTTCACTATGTATTAAGAAACATAACTGTGTTCAACATTCAGA